CATTTTGAAGGGAAAAATTGCAGTATACTTTCTTTTCAAGGCGAAGCTTCCAGGTGTGAAAGATGTCTCACATTTTGATGCTGTCTATGTACAAAAAAATTTATGTTCAAAGAATGTAGTATTGATCGAAAGCGGGAGTTGGCTCTATAGCTGTGATCAGCCTTCGGAACAAATTTTTTTTAAAATTTGAAACTTTCCTCCGCAAAATCATTAAGATTTTAAGCCGTTCTATAATAGCTAATGATATGACGTTGGCTTACAGATATTGGTTCCTCAAACATTTTCGTTCAAGAGAGGGCAAATTACAGCGACTTTTTAGGGTGGCTCTATAGCTATGGTCAGCACTGTATATGTGTGCTAAGTTTGGTCCGGATCGGCTCAAAAATGAAAATTTCTATTCCGCACATACGCATATACAGATAGACATCAGCTTTATATAAGAATGAAAAGCCATAAAAATATTAGAGCAAAGGGTCGGTTACGAATAAACAGGAACAGACTTTTGTTTGCTTGAGTAGAGCATGCTGGCTGCACGCCGGCCTCACACAGATGGCATGCTTGCGGCTGTTCTGAGCCCCGGATCCCGCAAAAACGGCCCCGTTGCTTTGACCTCGAAACGATGTCCAGCTTGACTAGGGTTCCAGCTGTGCCGGAGCGTGATGCCAGCGTTTCCTTTTGGTCAAATGCACCCAACTCTTTGGCAAGCTTACTTTCTCTCTCCGCAAGTTGCCATTGCCCTTACATGCGAAAGCTGCTATCATAATAAGTATACCGTAAAGTATCATTTTGAATTATATCTCTCAATTTTTAATGGCTAATCGCTGTGATAGCCACAAAAAAAAAGAAATTTATTCCGCTTTGCTTTTTGTTGGTGTCGACGACAGCTTAACTGTTGGATTGCTTCTTTCAAAACTTCCTTTTTGGTCTGGTGCAGTAGATTGTAGGAATACACGCCAATTTTGCGAATTATCATTTGAAGTTGGGTAATCGTAATTGTCAGTTGCTTTCCTGGCTTGCGTCCTTGCGAAACATAATCTTTCTCAAGTACCAGCTCTTCTGGACTATCTACGCTAAACAGCGGCTGGAATAATTTTGTTTCCTTTCTTACCTGCTTCTACGTCGTAACATTCAGTCCCGAAATAATGCAAATTTGTGATTTGGTCAAATCAAATCAATAGCAAGTCATATTAAAAATATTTCATTTGCGTCATCGTGCAAAAGTTATGAATATAGTGAATTCCAAATTGGTTGTGATTGCGCTCAAGGTTATTCTTGTAATTTAGGCATGCCTTCCAATACGCAACAATCACAATGCTCTGCAGCAGCAGCTTATATCGCCTTTGTACCCCAGCATATATCTATGTGTGTCCATATAGTCATAAACCTGACAGCGTTTGTGACTAATGCAGTCTTCCTACATTTCTTCTCAAGAAACCACCTTTTTCATTTTAACTGCCAGGTATGGTTTCTGCAGTCTTACATCGAGTCAAGAGATATGTTTGCAGATTCTGATCCTCTCACTTATAATAATTAACTACATGCACTCTGCAACATATGTTACAATGCTTGTAAGCTGATTCACTTCGTTCGCACGTTTGGTATAGCTTATGTAAATTCCACATATTTGCATAACCCAATTTTACTTATCTAATTTGTATATCTTGAACTTTTGCTAAAACCCTACATCTCAACCTTCGCTTACTTTTGTAAGCAGCAGCTGCAACATAGCTAACTCTACAAAAGTAATCGCTTACCAGATGCTGACGTCAAAGCCTCCAGGAAATGAAACATCATTTTGAGCGCACGCGTTCCAATCATGCTTGTGCAGCATATCGGGAGTGTTACTGTATAATAACTACAGCTTTGACTAGACTGTGTATCTAAAATGGCAAATCTGTAAGTGGGTTGAGCAACGCAAGGTCCATAATAAGGTAAGGCTTGTTGATTAGATGGTCGTCACATTAGTTCTTGGACTGAAAGTGATGCTGGGGAGTACTCTACCTTCTCGCACATTTACAGTAATGAGCCATGGGCACTGTTCAATTGCCTTACACATTTACCTCGTGCGTCCGCTTGTCCAAAAGAAATCTAGTCTAAATGTCCTCTCTAGTGCCTTCAACGTTTCGGTATTTATGTTCTCTTCATTTGAAAGCTTCCCGCAGTACTGGTGGATGTGGGAATTCTGATTTGCACAAACTCAAAAGATTTCGTTTTAAGAACAATAAGGTCCTATTTCGCAGATGTTGGGTGACAGCTAGTTAAACGATATTGTTGGTACCAACAGGTCTTTCCAGATTGCAGTGTAACTTCTTACAAAGTGCATGCTTTGCCTTGGCCACAGCGTTCTCCCCACTCAGCTTCAGCTTTCATCGACTGAAGTTATCATCATATAAGGAATTCATGCCGTTCGGTAGGCTCTACGCTCTGCATCCCTTCGCCTGATGCCCGTCTGCCATGTACCTCAGCTCCTTTCCCAAAAGACTTGCGCGATAGCGGATAAGCTCGTACCCACAATATGCACGAGCTACGCCAACTTCAAGACAAACAACATGAATAATATAAACATTTATTAAATAACACGACAAACTAAGCTATATACCAATAATGACAATACCGGGCGAGCTCTTTCTCCTAACACACTCTCACACTCTCCTTACTTCCAAGGGACCTGACCGATATGTCGGTTACGCACCGCCAAAGCAGTACGTCAATTGCCGGCTGATACCAACCTGCAGACGTTATTGATCAATTCTACATTTTTAATCTTAGCTCCACAGTATGTCTTGTGCGTCTATGCTTTACTAGATATTCCTCGTTCAGATATATCTATCCTTAAGCACCCATCGCCATTCAACCTTTTAAGCATACATTCGCTCCAGGCGCGGGGCTATTCATGGCCGAGGCTGGGGCATGCCTGTGTAGTGCAGCGAACAAGGTTGCAGACGGTAGAACGGCAAACAGCGCGGCGTCATGATACTCCCGGCCAAAGACCAAAGAGTTAATGCCCTCCATCAACGTTCCTCGATAACGATGATCGCGAGTCGCGACAGGAACGTCATCAATGTCTGTGATATTTTTCAAGTAGGGTACTAGGCATTAATAGGTGGTGATGTGGACTAAATATATACGCCGCTGTTGGGTACGACTTCACACTTGAAAGACTAGCAATGGCATTTTTGCTGCATCTATAAGTCAGTTTGAGGGTCAGCCTTTACCTGCACTCACCTACATATGTCATCGAAAGCAACTTTTTGAGAACGTTTTTGCATTGGCAATCTCCCGTACTTAGGCACATTTAAGGTTGCTTTCACCCTGTCCCGTCTCCATTCCCTCCCTGATATCGCAAAACCCTCGCTTACCTAAGCGACGTATCTTACTGTGACGAACATGTATTATAGACTAATTATCATAAAATTAACACAGTCAAAGACTGATTCCTCCGATATGACAAGACTTTGAATAAAGTTCTCGACGCATCTATCGGTCTGCTGGAAAATTTCTTGTCGTAAGCAGTGGCTTTTTCATACTCTCAGCCGACATACAAACAACAAGATCAGTGTTTTCTCGGTTCTTTAGTCTACTTAGTAAGTTTTGAATCCCGAAGCAATTGTCCTCGGCTGTTTTTGAGATAGTCTTAAGTAGCGCATGGTGGGTAACATTTTTAGAGCTAGGCAAATTAAAAGTTCAATTTCATTTGTTGAAACGAGCTCTACACTTATTTTTAAGAGCATTAATATAAAGCAATATGATACCCAGTTTCTCCTTTATTATGATGCTAGCTTGCAAATCGGGCTCCGTCCGGCTCTTTCAATATTTTCGAATCAGCATAATCATTTACTCGCTGTACCAATTGTCACCTCGCATGAAAATTTGCAAAAAATCGACAAAATATATACAGAGTGTCCCAGAAAATGTGCACACTGTTTGATCGTTAATAACCCTCTTGCTTTATTTGATCGTTAATAACCCTCTTGCTTTGAAGTTTTTTGCCTAGCTTGAGGTACCATTATATAGAGCGAGGTTCAACTTAGATATGCAGTATAAAGCGAACCACCAATCACTTTTCGTCACCGTAAAATTGTGATATGAACTTTCAGCATACAGCGTCATTGTAAATTAGGCCTTTTGATGAAATAATTTCAAAAAACTCCGAAAATTTGTGTAGCAAAGTTTTCAGGCGTGCTGATTTCATTACATAACTTTTCACCGGTTTTTCGGGCTTTCTTGATGGCGTATTCACATTTTTGACGAACATCGGAAAAACAGTTGTTATCCTAAATCTGTAATAGCTTATGAAAGAAGTACTGTGCTAAAGTGCAAACTCCATATTCAAAATCAGCGCTTCGATTAGCCCACTTCAAAAGTTGCGAGCGCGACGCGCGCATTTCTTCACGTTGTAAAATCTGCGCCTTACGCGCTCTACGGCTAATAACTGCGTTCGCATCAAAAGACATTGCGCCTTCTTTGTGCAGCAGCCTATAAGTACACACAGACGAAACAGAATGACACACAAACAAATTCAGCTTCATTTATGCAAAATCTAGTGCTATGCTTTGTCGCTGCAGTAAAGAGAACTCAAGACTTTCATTGATTCTAATCAAATTGCTATACGCAGATTGAAGATCAGCTTCGAATTCTTCAGCGCATTTTGAGAATGCGTTTTACATAAGTTTTTCAATAATGTTTTTTTGAGGTCATTCACCTTGTAAAAGCAAACACTGCCGGTAACAATGCTTGCAACGCCATGATTGGAGGATATTTATGTTTTTTTATACGCGTTATCACATCTAGCTGCTATACATGTCACTCGACCATACTTCTTGGCCTGCTTTCGGAGCGATTAATCGCTACGAAGCGACTGTTTACGTACGAGAATAGCTCTCGCACCAACGGATACGTTATACTTTCCATCGCGGTAGTCAAGAATTCAGTAGCGTTTGTCAGAATGCACGATTGCTACTTCCCAGATCTTATCCTCAGTATTCATAAATATATACAAAATGCATCGTTTTGCTGTCAACAAGAAGATTGTTTACTGTTCTACTGTCACCACTGAGACTAATACGGATGTGCTCATTGTTCACAGTGTTATATTTATCATTTTAGTGGTAGCTGTATTTATTTACGGACTTACGTTGCTCATGAATAAAAAATCGAAGAAAAGGTACGTTTTAATTGAGCTGGCTTGGCGACTGGAAGCTGGGCTTCGTGACCTAATTAAGGCTAGGTGATGACCAGAGAGCACGGAGAGACGGGAGAAAAGCAGACTGCGTCGCGAGCGCGAACGGCCTTAACTAGGTCATAAAGCCTCGCCCTCCAGCCACCAAGTCAGTTGAATCAAAGGTTATGCTGCATATTATAGTGCTCCCATAATGTGTTAATCTTTTTCCTCAATTACAATTTATTACTTTGCCCCTAGTAAATGGGACAGCACACATTTCAACTGTTTCACTTATTTTAACTTTTTAGAGACTAAGCTACCGATGCACTCCTTTCATTTGTACCCTAAAATATTTTTATTGATTGCTTGTTTCAGACTAACTCAAAATGTTAGCGAAAAATATCAAGCAAGAGAGAATCTTCGAGCCCTGGAAATTCTGGCTCCGTTGCTAGTTTTTCACTTTATCGGCTATTTGAGCTATTTTGCAATAAGCATAGTAATTCAATCCCTGAAGCCTATCGTTGGTGAATTACCCTTTCGTGTCATATATTCAGCAACATATGTGAGTCACTTCAGACCTTGTTTTGCTAAAATTATTGCATTGTTTTCAGTTCATCTCGTACTACTGTGTAATATCTCCTTTGCTGCTACTGCATATAATGAAAAAGAAGAAAGCAGAGAGCGAAAAGACTGTCTTTAACTGCACTGGTAATGCTCAACAAAACAAGGATGCCTACTTCCAAAGTTATAATCAAATGTGGCGATAATACGAAATCATCTTCTATCATTTTTAGGTGTATAGTAATAAATGTTACAATAGCCTTTCAAGTTCAAACGTCTTACTCGCTACAACCAGATTGTGAGATTGCGACATACATTTTTTGAACAAATTTGTCTGAGGGAAAGACAAGCTTTTGGATCACTCTCTTGGGTTTCATCTTTTTTACTAATTACTTTCTTGGGTTTCATCTTTTTTACTAATTGACTGAAACTTGCCAAACTTCAAAAATCATCTACACCGCTAATCAAATAATTTATTACCTAGTTCTCAATATATACAAACAAAGCACAATACTCAGAACAAATCACTAATCTTTTCTCTCCACTACTTTTTCGGTGGAAGTTATTTCCTCTACCTTTTCGTTGGACTTCTCCTCAATTTTCTCCTCAATTTTCTCCTCGACATTCTCCTCTACCTTCTCCATATTTTCCGTGTGTCTCTTGCGGAATAGACGAGCACAGCAGGAAAAGTCCGTGATTGAACAACATGACACTGATCCGAAGAGCATTGTCGGCGGAGGAGGCGGAGGTGCCAAAGCGCATCCAGGGCATGGCGGATTATACACAAACTGTGGTGGAGGTGGCGGTGGCGGTGCGAAGACTACTTGCGGTTGTGGGGCACATGGAGGAGCGGAGCATGGTGGAGGTGGTGCTGGAGCAAAGACGAACTGTGCTGGAGGAGGAGGAGCCATACATGGTGGAGCCAAACATGGTGGAGCTGGTGCTGGTGCAAAGATGATCTAAAAATCCCTTTTATCGCTTTTTGAGGAGGAAAAATGACTTACCCTTGGTGGCGGAGGTGGAGGAGGAGGCGCGAAGACTACCTGTGGTGGAAGAGGTGGTGGAGCGCAAGCTACACCAACACATGGTGGCGGAGGCGGAGGAGCGAAGCAAGGTGGGGCCGAACATGGAGGAGGTGGTGGCGGAGCAAAGAAAAATTGTGGCGGTGCTGATGCTTGCGGAGGCATGAAGAAGAACTGTTATAAAGCAAATTAAGAATTTTGATGTATTTGAAATCAAGTCAAGACCGAATGCTAACAGACCTGCGGAGGTGGTGGAGGAGCTCCACACACTGGTCCAAAGCATGGGGGCGGTCCAGGAAGGAATGTTGGGCCACATCCTGGGCAAGGCTGGGCAATGGCCACAGCCAGTAGGGAAGCTAATACCACCAGTGACATCCCTAGGCGCCTACAACATATTCTATACTTTTTCAGCAATAATAATTGAGCGATGCTTCACATTTTTAAAATATAAAATATTATACAAATGATCGTATGGAATGGCTACATAATAAAATATTATGATAAAGCTCAGCGTAACAGTTGTTGGGTAATGCAAATACATACAGGAAACGACTTGTACCAGTAGTTGCATCCAGAAAAAACGGAAATTATGCAAAATCGAGGACAAATACGCTAATTGCTCTGAAAAAGCAGACGAGAGCTTTTAAAGCTGTTTCACTGATTGTGTCCTGGAGCTATATGCTGAACAATCTTATATAGTTAACACCGTCGAGTGCGTTGGCAAACATCCTGCACCTGTCGCGACAGCATCGTTAACGAGCTCGGACTGGAAAGCATGCGGACAAGCATGAAGTGACCCACACTTGATCGCGAGAAGATCGCTCATTAGCTGTATGAGCAACGGTAGCAAACTATGCAATGGTAATTTGCGGAAATTAGAAGCTTCAGAATTTTTTGCAGAATGCGAGCCTCTGTCTGTCACATCCTTCCTTCCACTTTCACAAAATTCGTTTAATTCTGTATCTCTCATTTCAGCAAAGATTATGCATATTGTTCAAAATCAAGCATCCATACGTATGACAGGACACACTGTTACATACTATGCATAAATCGATCATTCTATAATAAAGAATGGCAAGAGTCTGCATCTATAATAAATCATGATGTAAACTATGTTCAAGAGAATATCAAGCAAATTTTACATAAAGTTTTTGCATAATTTGATTTCAAACTGTTTCAAATTTGGCAAAATCCTACCAGAAATGCTCGGAGTAGTTAGAGATGTCGAATAAACTAAGCATGATTACTCTTGGCTTAATGCAAAGTGATTTGGTCTTTGCAAAAATTCGCTTTATGACATCGTTTTTGAAAACTTGCAAAAATATTTAGCCACTTTAAATGTGGTTGGCGAATAACGATAATTATGGTCCGTTGTTTCGCTTTTTCTTATGATTTATCAAATGATTTTGAGAACGTTTAAACATCAATCTTCTGTTCATTCTGTATGTTAATCTTGAACAAAAGTTTTTATTACAAAAAGCATGAAAAGAATAATGTAGAAATGTTGTGTATAATTGTAACTGAATACAAAAATTATATTTGTAGCTTTTCTTGTTGTAATGCTTGTTAGAAATTGTACTTCCACATAGTACCAAAAAGCATATTTTTTTCGGACAGGAAAGACTTAAACGAGCGAAAACTATAAAACATGGAGATTTTACCTTATGATTTCATTTGTTCATGGAATACGAACTATGACAAGAAGCGAGAACTGTTGTACAAAATGATAACTAATATTGTCTTTCAGGCATTCCTGTGGAATGCAAAGAGGGAAGTAAAAGGATTACAAATTGTCAATAAAAAACTGTCGAATTTGTAGCTTTTTTAAGTAATTGTACAATCAAAACTCATCTGAAAGAAAACAATTCCAACTATCCATAGAAATTCACTTGAAAATATGATTCATAACTATCCAATTTGAAACGTTCTATGTATTAAGTCAATCAACCACAAATTATTATGCACAAGCAAATTATCCTGCAAAAGTGTCGTCACTATATCAGCAATTGTTTCAAAGAAGTCAGGGGACAAACTGGGGGACCTTGCAAGCGAAATGAACTTTGAAAAAAAAATTCTTATCATCTCACAAATCATAAAGTAGGTTTTATCTCTTTGCACAATAAGTGGTACGGATTACGGATATTCTAAAGTTTTGAGAGAAAATTAGCCATTTGAACCATCTTTCCAGCAGGGTTCCTGCTTCACTTGGTAGTTGTCCTAAAAAGTAATTAAATTTCCATGTTTCCTGCTTTCCGTGAAACATCCTATAATTCTAGCCATTTTTGTATTCCATCATTTTTTGAGCTCTTTTCTGCTGAACCACCATGTCAGGGTCCACTAACAAAGAAAATAAGGCAAGACACTCTTTTTGTTCTAGGAACACTAGTTTTTCTAGTCGAGACAGCACGCGCTTTGACAGCTTGGTCTATGCAATGGCACTTGAGCCACTCACATTGTTGACAGAGGTTGTTCCGCTCCTGTAGACAATAGCCGATGGGTGTTTTCTTGGAATTTTTCCAAGTTCCAGCAAGACCACGTAACAGTATGGAGTGGGAAAAATTTGTGCACAGGTTTTTTATTCGAAAGCTTTTGCTTAAACATTCGAAAAAGACTGATACCCTCAAAACTATTTCAGATGGGTCATTTTCTGTTGCGAAGAGATGTGGTAAAAAACATTGCCCTCAAAAATGGATCGATCGATTGAAGGGGATATGCTTGCTAAACTTAATAAATTAGCTGGTTTCAAACAGACGGGCCATCAACGCAAGTGCGTTAAAAAAGCCATTTTTCTTGCCAATTCTCTTCTAAAAAACGGCGACTTCCACCTGCACTTGACGTAAAACAGTTTCATAAGTTTGCGTCGATCCCACAAGGCAGCTGAGGAAACTCCATGTTTCTCCTGCAAAGTGCGGGAACGTTCGGATGCAAACTAATTACGGTAGTGACTCACTTAACAGCCTGAATAGTATGGGGTTGAAAAGGAAAAAGTTTTCATTTTGTGCTGTTAGTGCAGCAGAACACCAAAAGCGTGTACCGGGCAGAGCGAAGAAGCTCCACAGAATAATTATCAAACGCACCAAGTTTGATCATGCGAAGTTCGAGACCCAAATCTAAAAATTTCCAGATGCCCAAAAATAGAAGAAGTGTGTCTTCGCTTAAAAAGAATCCGTCAGACCCCCAACTTACACAGGCATGTACTTTGAATTTCAAATATTCGTATGCGTACCTCCTGTATGTCTTCTTTTCTTTCCTAGTAATCGAAAAAAACGAGAGATTTTCTGTTTTTTCCAACGTTCCTCCGCAGACAGTTCTATACTATTAACTTTTACTAGCACAATCGATTTCAGGCTTCTGTAATTGCTAGTCTTCGGGAAATAGGTTCTTTAGCTCTTCAAAATGCTTGTAGGAAAAATTCAATTTGATTTTCCTCAAACACTAGACCTTTTGAAAGGCTCAAAATCTAGGCTTTACTTCGACTAGTAGTAGGAATTACCACCTATGGGAAGAGCCCAGCATTGCTTTGGCCAGAGCATAAGGAGTTTCGTCCTCTCGATTTCTATGTGAATGTGCGTTTGAGAGAGTGTATACTCGAACAAGGTGTGAGTCAAGATTTTATGGGCAAGATTAGATTTTTCTCGATTTTTTCGTCATTCAGAACTTTTGAGATTTTTGATACAAACTTAGCGTGAATCAAACTTGGTGCAATCGTTTGATAGCCATCTTAATAGCTTGCTTTGCTCGTTCAAATGGTACTATATCCTTTTTTGACGTCTGCACTAATGCGATATTATTCAACCTAACACAGTAACAAGCTTTCTATGAAAAAAATAGGAAATCGTGTTGCCAGTTTATCCCTGTGGTGCTCTACATTGTAGCGACAAAACGACACCAAAATAAAAACACAGAAATCCGAGCTCGCAGCTTACACAACCATTCCTAAATGCAATAAACTATAACAAGTAATAAATAATAATATAATGGATAATTGTATACACCGTCTTAACACACATCATTCATTCTATGACTAAGAGACGCGAGTCCGCATTGCACACATTGTTTAACCCATTGACGGCACGCCTAATTTCGCTTGGCGGCGCTGTAGGACGACGCGAATTTGCACAACATTTTCGGCGTGGGAGGGTTTTGTGACTATTTACGAATTGTAAAGCTGTTTTTGCGAATCACTACAATCATCTTCTTGGACAACGAAGGCTACAAATTCCAAAAGCTCAAAAAACCAGTAAAAATACTGAACTGTGAAAAAGTACTAGACCTGGAAAGGATATGATTTTGCAAGGGGTGTGGGCCACCGGTGGTCCACATCGCCCCTGGCGGCAGAAAGTGCGTGGGCCACCGGTGGTCCACATCGTCGTCAGTGGGTAAACAACCTTAATCGTGTGCTTAGCAAGTTTATGTAGGCTGTATCAACCAGCTTCGGTCATGCGACGTCGCGCCTGGTGCGAACTCTGTTACACGCGAGAGCACGTCGCATGCGACCGCGCGTTTTCGCAAGGCATAACAGCGCGGAACCGATGCTGGTTGGTACAGCCTATATTTGTCATTTATCTCGTTCAGGTTTATTCAGTTTTTGGAAACAGGGGAGAACAAACTCAAACATGTTAAAACAATGTCAGCAATGCGGTCACACGTCTCCTAATCATAGAATAGATGGTACAGGGCTTTACAACCTGAGTGTCCCACCCGCCCCGCTAGGACGCCACGCTCAGGTCCGCGCAGCGTTCGTGGCGCTGGCTGCGCGTCGACTGAGGCTTGGCGAAATCCGGGCGATACGCAGCAAACGCCGCGCGCGGCCTGAGCGAGGCGGCCGCGTTGGAGGAGCCGGGCAAGCGAAACTTGCGACTCTCAGGTTGAAAAGCCCTGTACATACCTAGATATGTATGTAGGTACAGGTACACAGGTAGCCAGGTTATTAACCAGGTTAATTCTAACCAGAATTCCTACGCATCATCAGCCGTGTTCAAACAAGTGAAGGTTGGCAAAAAGGCGTAAAATTTGAATCTATCAAATAAAATCAAATCAAATGTTTGTTCATGAAAAATTGGAATCGAACTTCAATATGCGTGCACAAGCCGGACCTTGGACCAGGTAGAATCTGTAAAAACTTTAGCAATGAGAGCATGAAAATTCTTTGGCAATTTGGAGGGCACGTTGTCAAGTAGGGGCAATAGAGATCTCACCAATAATATTGTACTAGAAACTAGGGTATATACAATACCGCTCATATAACGTGCAAAGTTTCGGGAATTCGGCGAAATTCCCGGAACGTCGCGAACTTTCGTGGAATTATCGAAATTTCGCACGTTATGTGAGCGATGTTGTAGGTCTATAAAGACCAATAATTATTGCAAAAACAATAAGAATTCGTTCTCGAAAGATCTAGATGCGTTTCGTTTTCTGCTATTTGGTGACTCAGGTTGCCTAAAATGAGCTGTGACAACTCATCATGGCCAAATGATTTCTTGGAATGAATGTTGCATTCTAGTCAATTGCAGGACCTTGTGCCACTGAAGTAAGAGGTCTCGCGAGCACATTTGCAACAAACCACGCACTTCTACGCATGATAAGCTGGGACCAGCTGTTCAGAGTGAATCTAACATCAATGGTCAAATGAGCATTCGAAAGCAAAATGCTGTAGTACAAATCCGAACATCCGACGTTCAAAGCAGTGAAAACTAATGTGTTAGATTGTGTAATAATAAAGACGCACAGCATATAGATTAATCGACGTCCTGGCACAATGCTAGCACGATTTTTTTTCGATCTTAGTGTCGGCGCTCTGTTGTTCCGTTTTTTTCTCAGTTATTAGTCTAAGGGAACATTCGCAGCTGTGAGACACGATATATTGGGATATCAGGTGCAGTATAAGAAAGAGGTACTTATTTGATGGCAGCGTGATCTTATCGACATACTTACCAAAAATACTCTACTGATGATTTTTCGGTTTTTTCAAGCCATTATTTTTTTTTGAATCTTACAAAATATCTTCGAATTTTTTCGCTTATTCCTCGCAATAAATTGCTATGTATTGCTGATGGCATGTCAGTTGACTCAAATAAACCACTCAAAATCTTATGAAACTTTGAATTTCAAAGGCGCTTGAGATTTCCAATCGAGTAACAATATAATATAATATAAAATAATATAAAATTAGGTTGGTCCGAAAGTTCTGTCCCACCATTTTCAAAAAATCGTAACTTCTTCCTATCACAATGTTTTTGCAAGAGTAAAACCATATTGAAAACAGCAACTCATGCACTTTCTAAAACTACCTTGGATGCTCTCTACTAAGCTCTGAAAGCAGAGATAAAATTGGGAAAACGAAATCACTTCGAGCTCGGAATTTTTAAGCAAGCCCGTTAAAAAATCTAGAACTGTGCCATAAAATCCAAAACAGCCGGTATCCTAGACTATTTTACCCCCTCTTTCTGGCTGAGCAAAGTTCGCATTGATCTAGCTGTCGAAAAGTTATGATTTTTTGAAAAAATGTCAAAAAATCAATTTTCTTAAGAAACTATTTTTTGGCATTTTTTCTTGAAAATCATGATTTCTTTCAAAAAGGCTCGATCAGCGCGAATTTTGCTCAGCTGGAAAGAGGGGATCAAAAAACCTAGGATACTGCCTGTTTTGGATTTTATGGCACAGTTTTGGATTTTTCAAGCTTGCTTAAAAATTCTGAAATTGAAGTGATTTCCTTATTCCAATTTTTTTCTCTGCATTCAGAGCTTAGTAGAGAGAAGCCAAGGCAGTTTTAAAAAGTGCATGAGTTGCTGTTTTCAATATGGTTGTAATCTTGCAAAAACATTGTGTTAGGAAGAAGTTACGATTTTTTGAAAATATTGGGACAGAACTTTCGGACCAACCTAATATAATTTATTTATGAAACAATAATCAACACCTATATACAGACACTGAGTTAGTCCTTATCAAGACAAAGGGTTAAACAATGGATTTGTTCCAACTCGTAATGGTGGTATCGATTTCGGGGGTTGGAAAGGAGCGTTGATCAAACGACCTAAACAATGAGAAATAAACGTGATGATCCTAAAAGAGGCCTCGACGCACCTGTATCCGTCACAATTGGATCTGGAATGCCAAAGACCTGTTGTTCTTGTCCCATTCCACCAAAGTGACCGTTATGGCCGGGCATCGGTGGGCGCTGACAGGGCAAACCACCACATGGTCCTGAGAAGTAAGAAATCGAAGCTTTTGCTATGAATCCAACATTTGGGCTTTACCGTATGGAGAAGGCAGCATTTGTTGCATCATTGGGAAACGATAGGTTCGTGGCCCGCAACCAGCACATCCACCACTGTTGTAACCCTGAAAATAACACCTCTGTGTGCCCCAATCAATCTTTTTAAAAACTTCGGAAAACATTCTATTTTACTTTACGCTCGATCACTTTGGTAAGCGGTGTATTAGGTTGTCCGGAAATTAATTCCGTTTTGAATTTCATCCGCAATAAATTATGCACTTCTCACTTTTGAATAGGTTTCAAAGTGCCGTTTGATAGTGTAAAGCAAGCTTCACAAAATGCTTTTGCATCAGCTTTAATCCACCTCGAGTCTGAAGTCAAAGACTTAAAGATTTAACTGCCTAAAAATTGAGAAAATCGCAACTCACTCCAAAAAAAATCTTACAAAAATTCTCACTTACGTTATCACTATCCACATGATACATCTAGTATGTATGCGGTTGGAGTAATTTTTTTCACGGTTAAAAATAAAGAGAACGAATTTTCATGGATTTGCCAAAGTGATGCTATGATGTTCGCACACAAGTATAGTTGTATACTATCAACTAGTAGAAGTACAATCATGAATTTCAGCTCTCCACAAGCTCTGTTTTTCGAAAAAAAGTTGAATTTTAGCGTAGATCACCCGACTAGTGAAAGCTATATTCAATAATTCTCGAGAAGTAATTGTAAGAAGCTGAAAATTCACGTTTGTACTTCTAAGATTTGTAGTAAATAACTACTTATGTGGGACCAGCACATCATCACTTTGGCAGAAACATGAAAATTCGTTTTCTTGATTTCTCACATTCCCAACCCAAGAAATACGGCGACGGCGTATATAGATCTCTAGTAAGTAAGTGACTATGTGAGTAAGTGACTTTTCGTGGGATTTTTGCACTAAACTACGATTTTTTTTCGGTTTTTGAGCACTTGAATCATTTTGGTTGAGTATTAATAACCGAAAAAGTATTATTTGAGATTTTGACGAGAGTGGCGAAAAAGCTTGCAACTTTGGCAGTAAAAAAGAAGTTTCTTGCTTTTTTCTTCAAAATTTGACAGGGGCGGTTTCAATTGTTGAAAACGCTTTGTCTCCAACAACTTACCGGGAAACATCCAGGACAGGGCTGACCCATTGACAGTCCAAGAGCAGACAAGAATACTAATATCCGGAGTAACATAACTGACTTACTGATTGAGCGATTCCTGAAAGAATGGAAATTTTAGCAACCATTTTTTTACAGCTAAAAACCAGAGCTTTTTGCGAGACCGAAGAGCGCACAGAAAAAGAGACACCGACGGCTGAGCTGAGCTTTTATGCGATTCATCGCGCTATCGGTCACCTAGCCTGAGCTTGTTTGCACAAAAACTCAACGCCGTGTTTCTGGGCGCGCGAGACCAGGCTCATGACCAGAAATCCTGCCGTAATCGCGTTGTTTGTGGTTGCGATCCGGCACACGTCAAACATGGAGCTGAGTGATGTCCACACAGAAGAAACTCGCCCCTCCCCCCCCCCCCCCCCTCCCCTCTCCCTGAGCTTACGCTGCTCACTCATACATTCGGATACACGCCATTTTATCAAGGCAATAAAATCTTCAACAAAAAAAAGTAGCTTGTGAGCAATTACTTTCGAAATCCAAGCAGCAAACGCGAATCTAGAAACTATCCATGATTATGACTGCGAGCCCTAGTTCGCTCAGATTACAATGCAGCAATATCTTTTGTGAGTAATATGTGCACTGCACACTGCGCGCGACATCTCACGACTTGTGTTCCTACAAATCGTCAATCTCTAAAATATCCTTTGTATTTCGTTCTTCGCTTCGAGCATGTAAGAGATATATAATAAAAGCAAGTGTTAGAAAAATTTTCTGGACTGAACTTGAGCTGACTTACTGAATGTTTTTTCTTTTTGCTTTTATTTTACGTCTCAAGTATTTCCACTGATGTTCTAAATGTAGGACGCCTTATGTGCATTATATAATAATTAAATAAATAAGTAAATAATTGCAAAAGTACAAACGATGTAAAAAAGCTTTCTTGATAGTAATTCCAGAGAAAATTTGGGAACTGTTCAGTAAGGGCAGACTCACACACACATATTTTATAATCACAGACGTGTCTAGTATTTACTATGTCAAGCTGAGAAAATTGCAAATATTAGTTTTGTTTTCTTGTTGATAAAAAATCAATGCCCGTATTTGAGTAAGACTTGAAATAACTTAATGATTGCTTTCAGCCTTGGCGTGAACAGTTTTAGCATATAGTAGTCAGGTTTGTCTATACATGAATCGGATTACTCGAAGAAAATAAGTTTTCATGAGGCAAAATCGTTTGGCGTTCGATTTTTCATTTTTTTCTCTTAGTGTCAACTTTCGAAGAATCTTTCTCCAATTTTATGATATTTAGCAATGCAGATAGCTCTTCTGCCAGATAAGCGCGATCAGAGAATAAAGATGAATCAAAATGCTCATTGGATTTGGCGCTAGAGATAGGAGGAATCCAAGCGATTGACTCAGTCATGCATTGGGTTTGGTCCTTTTGAGCTTTCAATATTTGCAGGCCAAACAGCCATGCAAAGGATCCGATCTACTACAAAGTCTGCTGGATAAACATCGACTTTCGAAACCAGTTTGAGGGAACCTGAAATCGCTGCGTACTTGGTAAAAGGAGATTGTTTGTTTCGGATCAGCTGACGCCCGTGAATAGGCTTGCTTTCGCGTTTCCAGCCTGAAGTACCAGAAATACAATTCTGTCGCTTTTCTATTGTATGGAAAATTCTCCTTGTTGACGTTATGTCCAAATCCAATCTGCAGTCGTATCTTTGTGTAGGCCAGTATCTGGTGGATAGATTTACATTCCCACATTTCCTTGGGTAATAAATTCCTCTCAGCTGTTTGCAAACAAAGTGTAAATGCAGGAGTACTTATGTAGAATAAAATCAATGAAATAAGACTTTCTCCATTGATCTGAAAACCAGCGCTACACACAAAAATTACATACAAAAATAAAAATACATAAAAATATTTTTAGAGCAGTAAGATACGACGTGCCCCTTCTTCTTCGCTCCACAGCGGGGATGTATAGCATTTTTGAATCGCGACGACGGATCTGAGTGCGGTTTTTGGAAAGCACAGAACACTTATACAAACAGGGATCACTTTAATGTTCAGCTCTGTCATCCAGTGTCTAACCTACTGACGACGACGATGAATTTGCGTGGCGGCCTATGGAACGACGCGAATTCAAACAACACTTTTGGCATGGGAAAGTTTTGTGATTATTTGCGGTATATAAAATTGTTTTGTAAACAACTACAATCATCTCCCTGGACGACGAAGTCCACAGGTTTCAAGAATGCAAAAAATTAAAAGATATACTGAACTGTGGAAGAAATACTAGACCTGGAAAACATATGATTTTGCAAGGGCTGTGGGCCACCGGTGGTCCACATCGTCCCTGGCAGCAAAAAGTGCGTAGGCCACCGATGGTCCACATCGTCGTCAATGGGCTAAATACTACCATAGTAAGCAGAAATTAGTTCGAGTAGAGATGATATCCAATAAAATGTGTTTGCGCGTGGTCGCGCCATCATGTTCAAGTGCCCCATACAGTCGAGTAGATTTTCCGCTCAATATAGTTTGCTTACTCTGCAAGTAAAATGCAGTAAAATTTGTGCGTGAACAAATAGCCACGCCAGTAATGCCGGCATTTTGCGCGCGCAATTGAGCGGCGTCACAGGCGTAGCTATTTGTTCACGCGCAGATTTTACCGCACTTACCTGCAGTGCAAGCACACTATCTGAAGCGGAAAAGCTACCTGACTGTTACGCATACGGCCTTAGAACAGCTCGCTTATCAGAAGAATACTGATGGTTAGCGGTACTTTTGTGTTTCAAGTTTCGCACTGTTTTGAGTAAGAGGAAGTTGTCAAATGCTAATGAGACCAGCAAACTTTATTCTTCACGTGGACATTAGTAGTTGATAAAATATATCCGAATGACGCCAGTATTTACTAAACGCTCGCCACTGATGACGCCACTCCTCAAGCAGATTGTGCAAAATTTCCTCGATGTAGAAAGTTATCAAGCCGCCGTTCATTACAACATTGACTGCTCAGTAATTTGAAAAGCAGGTTCTCCGTATATCGTCAACATACATCTTGATAGCTCTTTACACACAATACAGTAAATCTCAGGGAATACACTATAATTTAAAGGAGTTGTATGGGAGACGGCACATGACCTGCGCCATTTTTGCAAGGCTATAATTTCATTTTCGGACTACAAATTTCTCGCAAACCATTGACAAGCAGTGATTATGCACCTCAAAGTCAAAGGAAAGCTCATCCCATCACACGATCTGGCACAATGTGTCAGAGTGGTGAACAGACGCCAGAATTTGTCATCGAAGGTGTATCTACCCTTTTGGTTGTTGAAACGCACGCATCTGCGTGCTTGCTCTTCAAGTCTTGCAAAGTCGTTCGCGCTGAAACATAGAAAGGACGACATTAACAATCTTGGAAACGCTAAGCTTCATATAATATTATCGATTTTGGGAGATTTTCATTCGATTAGCTCACTTGTGATAAGATATGAATAATCGCTCGATTCTTTAAAGGAGGGTAGTGTTTCCTCTCTCAAGGAGACAGAGTCCAGAACAGCATGGATTTTTCAGAGGAACCCTATTTAGGGCACGTCCTATGATTGCTAGCACGAAGCAGGAGTTTTTTCCGGAAGTCCACGGTGGTTCTTGCGACACCAATACTACCGGAACTTAGTTTGATGTGCTCGATAAGTTGCTACTGCTTTTCGCTCAGCAGCAAAGGCAGATTCTCGACCTTCATTTTTTGCTCTATCCAGGCCTTTTCATGGTCTCGACTTTGGATATGGAAATCGGAAAGAGTGAATCCTTCAAGCAACCTTTTTTTAAAACTATTTTGTGAGAACTGCGCACGAGTTTCCTTCGAGCTATTCCTGGAGCAAGAAGTGTTAACAGTTCAAACATTACGATTTCAGCGGTGCTTATCATGCAAAAACGTATCAAGATGTGGGAATTTTTGTTCGAGGAGGTTGGCATTGCGAGGGAGTGGACGGGGTTCTTGAGGCTCTGGTGATTTGTTTTCTTCACTCAAAGGCGTGGATCAGCAGAATGGACTCTTCTCGAATTTTGGTGATTTAGGTAGTAGATTCCCCAAGTATACTGTAGCCCAAACCCCACTTGCCAATTTATGCGCTAAGTCCTAAAAAATGCCGTTTCAGAACTCCACCAGCCCCTTTCCATTGAGTGGGCGGGGCTTGTGGAGTTTTAAAGCGCATTTTTCAGGACCTAGCGCATGAATTGGCAAGTGGGGTTTGGGCTACAGTGTACTTACTTGGAGGGAGGGGGGGGAGGGGTCTACTACCTAATTCACCAATTCGAGAAGGGTCCATTCTGCTGATGCGTTTAAAGGCCGAGCATACCTTAGGCGATGAACTTGGCGCAAATTCTAATCGTCGCGACCTGCTGGGAATTAACAACGAGCGCGAAGGGATCGCTGATCGCTCGTAAGTGGGCATACCACTGCACAGTTGTTTATTCTCACAATATACTACGAACCATAAATAGTCTTGTCTGATGATCTTTTACTCGCGCTTTGATGCAAAGGACACGAAGTAATGAAAGCAAAGTTTTTAGTTGCATATCACGTTAAATGCTTGTACTATGATTAAAGTTTATTTCTATCCATTCTAATTGATGCCAGATACATATAATTAGTTTACCTTCGTTGTATATAAAATAAATTGTAAAGTTGCCAACGTTTTTGGTGTAATCTACCTATATAATTATTAGATCGAATCGAACTTTTGACTAGGGAGTAATTAAACAACGAATCAACAACATAGAAGTTCGTATAAGTACTAGGTCGTTTTAAAAGTTCTGTCCGATCTGCGATTTTTTCATCTAAAGTCTTATATCTTTTTTCAAAACCAAGAATTTTGAGCAAATTAAATTTTGTTGAATTAAGCGAGTTTATGGCTATCATAAGCCTGTATGCCATATAAGGAAGGGAAGCGAGAGAGAAGAGAAAAATTTTCGAAATTTGCAAGGTTTTCTTCAAAACCGTCCAGTTTTGACTAACTAGTGCCTCCATGGATGGGCACACATACATATTTGGCTGCCCTCATTGAGTAGCTTATACTTTAGAGGCTGTTTTGCGGCTAAAGAGAATTTGAATTATCTTTGATGCATAAAAAATTTTTGGGAGCAAGTAAAAAAAAACCATTATTTGAGCCCTCCTCCGCGTGCCAAATATGCCGACATTCTAATATTTGATTTTTTTCTTGCTGTCGCAAACGAAGAAAGCAAATTGGACGATGGTATCTGATTGCTCTCGCTTTACTCTAACTTAAGCAATATTGGATACATCACCTATCACTGCATGTAGATTGTTGTCGCTTGTTGAATAACTGACAAGGGAAGCTACCTAACTTAGCTCGGTCTTTTAGCAAGGGACACATATATTCTGAATCAGCTTCAAACGCTGATTCCACATATGCTACTCCTAGCTGCCACGCATCATTCCGAAGCGAGTTATGGGCTTTCTGCGCAAAATTGGCATGCTCATCGAATAAGGAGCATTACGTCATCTCATTTGAGTGCTGATACATCTGCGTTAAGCTTTTTTTAGTGAGAAATGATTGAATTTGTACTATTTCAATACCTCAGCACCCTTTTCTTGCAGATTTTTACCTATAGGCAGTCTTCTCATCTTCAGTAGTATGCCAATTTTGTGTAGGAAGAAGCCCATAACTCGCTTTGGAATGGTGCGTGGCAGCTAGGAATAGCATATTTGGAATCAGCTTTTGAAGCTGATTTAGAATATATTAGGTTGGCTAGAAAGTTCTTGCGTAATTCAAACAAAATTCAATAACTTTTCAGTTTTCTTTTTTCACATTCACAATCTTGTTCTCTAAAAATATTAGAAGGCCTGCGCTCCATGAAGGATGTTTGAGCGTAAGTTTTCATGAGCTAGCCCCCGAGAACGAAACTCTCAAATATGGGACTTCAAGATTTGCAATTTTGAGTTTGGTGCCAGAAAATCGCAGAGTGCCGCTAGCTAGCCGAAAAATAAATCTGCAAAAATTACTTACACTGCAGAAGTCCTTACGTTATTTTAGCAGGCTTTAATCTCGCACGGTGAAGCAAAAACAGAAAATTCGTGAAATATCCAATTTGGCGGAAAAAATCCACTCATTACCGCAGTTTTTCGGCAAAAACAATTTTTTACACTCCAAAAAACGTCGCAAGGTTCTAAATAGGCAATATGTCTTATTTCTGGTTGCAAACTGTGTTTTTGTGGAAAAATTACATCGATAAGGGGATTTATCCTGTAAAATGACAAATTCCACAAATTTTTTGTTTTCGCATTTCCATGCGAGATTAAAGCCTGCTAAAATAACGTAAGGACTTCTGCAGTGTAAGTAATTTTTGCAGATTTATTTTTCGGCTAGCTAGCGGCACTCTGCGATTTTCTGGCACCAAACTCAAAATTACAAATTTTGAAGTCCCATATTTGAGAGTTTCGTTCTCGGGGGCTAGCTCATGAAATCTTGCGCTTAAACATCCTTCATGGAGCGCAGGCCTTCTAATATTTTTAGAGGACAAGATTGTGAATTTAGGTTTAGACATTGAAAAGTTATTGAATTTTGTTTGAATTATGCAAGAACTTTCTAGCCAACCTAATATATGCCTTTTACGAAAAGGCCGAGCTAAGTTAGGTAGCTTTTCTTATGAGTTTTTCTTCTAGATTTGGAAAAAAATTGAAAAAGTAAGACATTGTCTACGTCAGAAAAAAAGTGTGCTTATGTTAGCCCGCTACATCCTCAACAGGGTCAAACGTGGGTTGTGGCACGCCACCCTGGAGGGTCGTAGAGAGGTTAGGAAAAGGGGGGCGGGGTCATTATCGAGGTGATAGTGATGTTAGCGACATTATGTCATTCAACAATGTCTGATAGGCCCATTGTATAAAATATTAGCACTGATGTTTTGCCTTACCGTCGTACACGCACACAATGGCCCGTAGTAAAGTACCGTCAGGGCATCTCCCCTGAGGCGGACCGGAGTTGACATCTTGGCGCCTCAGTCCAACATCCGGCGAGCCATTGATCGGAAAATCCATATTCTATCATCCACTTATGGTGATACGCTCCAATAGCCATCATGGACGGAACGAAACCGTAGTCCTGTGGTAAAGTGGCGAAGAGCTTTGCGTAGTGTGGAAATGGTCGGAGGTTCGGTTCCGTTGCAGTGCAAACGTTTTTGCGATGGCGAAAACCGTTTGATTTTTATCGGCAAAACAGTCCAGCGGCAGTTACGGGCACATCCGTCTTCGATCCACAAATAGCACCTGATTTTCTTTCGCACCTTTATCTATTGCTTTTTCATTTTCTTCCGCTCGTTTTTTTCACATTTTATGATCTTTTAGTCCATGCTATGTTGCATCACCGGGCAACATTGGAGCTGTTGCATGCATGTTGCGTATCTTGCGGCATGCAACATACGCAACATGCAGCAGGCATTGCTCCAACAATGTTGCGTATGTTGCGACATACGCAACATGGCTGCAACATGCAAAAGTCACGTTGCTGCAACAATCTTGCCCATGTTGTGGCATGCAACATGGGCGCAACATGCAAGAATCATGTTGCTGCACCAATGTTGCCGATGTTGCGGCAACATACATAGGTGCAACATGCAACAGCCATGTTGTTGCAACAATGTTGCACAAGTTGCAGCATGCAGCTTGTGCAACATTATCGCACGTTGCTGTAACCATGTACATAGTCCTGAAACATGCAATAATGTTGCAACAAGAGTGTTGCGTATGTTGCAACAGGTAACATACGTGCTGCTGCTTCTCCTTACACAAACGCCGCAATGCTTATCTGCAGTGGACCAGCCCTGTTAGTTTCTGTTGTGGGAATTGCACACTCCACGAGAGCATTGCCCATGGGAGCGGAAGGGCAGATATTGACTTGCTTGCACTTCTTCTTACAAGGGAAGGATGGTCAGTCGAAGTGGCCTTTTGCGGTGACTTGCATATCATTATGTAGTGCATAAAACACTGATTCCAAATCTGTGTTCCTTATCTGCGGCGCGTTCCTGCACAAGAAGTTATGGGCGTTTATTGGAGAAAAAACTGAATGTGCAAATAATATAAAAACAGTAGTAACATTATTCCTAGCGCTCAAATGGACCAGTGGTAATCTTTCCAACACTCTATTAAATAAATACTCTAAAGTGAGGTATTCCACACTCCGGCTGTCTCATTCAAGACCACTAGACTTCTAATGCGTTTTCTACAGTGTTTTTTTTTTTGTTCGTTCTTTGATCGTGTACATTGAATAGAATTAATCTGTAGATATGTTTTGTTCATGTACAAACCCTAGAGACGACAACAACTTTATTGGGGCAGCACGCATTAGAAACACAATTAGAATAAAGCGAAAGTATATCACACTGAATTCTATTATTGACCTTGCGTCACTGACAGATTGCAAAACACTTTCCCTCGTAGCCGTAAGTAGTGACCAACGCCCTTTAGCACTGACAAGCAACAACTTCCTTGTTGCTTGTTGCCAGAAGCTTCCACTGTTTTGCGAAGCGACATTCTAAGAACAAACTTTCATCTAGCTACAACCGCAAATCTTAACTTTACCTCAATGTTCCCAAAAAGCAACAAAAGAATGGAATTATCAACGAAATCATAGTTGAATCATTACATCAAATGCACCGGTTCCCGCTATTGCAAGTATATCAACGGTCTCTTCAAACGAATAACGCATAAGAGCTCCCACCACTTGTCGGTTCATACCGCAACGAGTATACCCATAAGATAACCTAGAAACACAATCCTTTTGAATGTAAGCAGAAGCTATGATATGTACCTTTAGCTGTCATCACATCACAAGAGAGCAAGATGCCGATAGTTGACATAAAAGCCGTCGAAAGAGATGACATTATTCATCTCACGCTCAATTGCCTTACGCACAGCTTCGATTCCCAGCACCTGTCCGAGAAGATTCGTAAGGGATTTGATGATTGCAAAAATAGGGACATACCTCTAAGATTTCGCATATATCGTTTGATGTAGTTCGTACAGGATCACTCAGAACTCCCAGATTTCCCAGAACAGCATTCCTATATACGAGGTGATGAAAAAAGATGTGAGGTAAAACAACGAAATATTGTCCATCTTAAATATTCAATAAGCGATCAGTGATCAGTTACTAAATGCAAAATCCTCGCCTTTGACAACTTCATTTTTGTCACATTCTGGCCTCGTGCAAGTAGCAAAACCATGAAGATGAAGAACATTTGCGCAAAGCCTCTGCAATGATTGTAATCTCGAATAGGCAATCAAACCAATGCGTCTGATTGCCAACAGTATTCAAAGAAATTATCTACTTTACAACTTATACCACCGAACATAGTGAAACTCACCGAAAAAGGACAGCCATAAGCTTGAGAAACGGAAATCCCACCCCATCGAGAGCATATGAGCCATAGGCAATCACCATCATTGATAGTCCACATACATGTGTTGAGATACGATAAGCATTATGGTAAAGCCTCCGAAAACTCAGTTGACCTAGAAATAGTGAGCTCAAATCAAGCACATCTTGTGAGCCTGGCATGATAAAATCTTAATTGTGCTTCTTCTCACAATCTGGCAAGTGGGTGTAGCTGTTATTTAAGGCCAGCAAACCACTACCTTCCGAGAAGGTAAATCCGCTACATAGAGAGTGCAAAAGAGAAAGAAAAACAAAACAATGAGAGCAAACTAACATCCAATAATGTAGTTAACCGTCAGTGGTCCACACTGGAAATCCCAAAATTTGAGTTAGGCGACCTCTCTTGGCTTTGAGACCACAGTAGAAAGTTTCCAGTGTTGTACTTGACCGTTAGCTCACCACATACAAGCTTTCGTTAGCACATACGGTAGCTGCACAGGCTATTTCACCGAGGATTTCGTAAAACTTATAAAGCAACCTATACAAGTACACGAAAAAATAATTCTTGCCTGCACTCCTTGTACAGAGAGAAATGTGCGAACTCATAGCCAGATTCCCTATCAGCAACAAATGAAAGGTTACTTACAAATGCTGATGTTTTGCTAACTTGTACGTTGAGCATTGTCTGATATATTCTGAAGTAATATTAAGTACTATGTTGATCAATTGAATTGAGAAGATTTCTTCAAGAAAATATAATAAAACGAAACACATACTCAGACAATGGTATGTTCCAAGAAGTAACGAATATCGGCACATGAGTTGAAATAAGACTTGTATACCCGATCACAGACGACCACATTTTGAGAGGCAAAAAGCTCCGATAATTCCTGCGATGGAAATTGCATAAAACGTGAAATGAAAAAACACTCGATGCATTACCTCGTTCCAATCAGTTCCAATTTTAGGCACTAAGGTCATAGCGGTTTCCTTGAGCAGTTCTTCAATTTCATTTAAATGTGCATTTAATCTAGAAGCACCTCTGCGTATTGAGGCTTGCAGAGCTTCACAGTGAACAACAAAGTCATTCTGAACATTTTGAAGAGCAAACATGAACAAACAAAGTGCTTTTTTTGCTGTGCCCCGATAGATTCACCTTTATTGAAGTTGCTGACTTGGTTTTCTTGCCCACAGCTTCGTTGGAATTCTGACGATTGCCACATCTTGCCAGAATTTTCACGAGAAGTTGACAAACAGCCAAAGACTGTAATGCTCGTGAACTCAGAATAATTTCTTCTTGTATGTAGAAAGGATACGCTTTCTTTTCAAATTGAGGCAACATGGCTGGAATAGAAGATTGAAGCATCTCGAATATATATATGAGCAGAAGTCAAAATCGCTTACTACTCACCGCTCCAATCTTTTTCCATTTGTTCTATAGATGGTAATATCGATTCAGGTGTAAGTTCATTCAAATTGTTGGCAGCAGCAACCTAGAAGCTGAGTACTACAAAACAGCCAACTACGGAAACAGCGCTGCTGTCAACATCAACGATTTCCTATAGATATGGCAAAAAGCGTAAAACTATTATGAAAATTCGACTATATCTTCGATAATATAACGGAGCTAATCAAAATGAAGTCTGATGTTGACCCGTGTCAAGCTCCACACCGATTGCACTAGAGAGAAGATTCATAGCAGAAAAAATTGAGTTGAAAGAGTGGCAAAAAAAGTAAAAAGTACTCACATCGACAGCAGACTGGAGCAGGCGTAAAACAGGATCCAAAAAACCACCATGTATCCAATGCGATAGATAAACGGGACTAGGAGACTGCATGACTCGGCTCTAAAATCTGCGATTACAAAAGGAATGACACTTTATTTCCAATCAGAAAAAAGTGTCAAGTAGAAGGGTAAAGTTGTACGCAGTGATATGTCAGACGAAGAATCAGAAGAATGAAACTTCTCTAAAAAGTTCGAATAAGAAAGTGTGCAATTTTGCGCCGATTTTGTCTGCATTTTTAGGCAAAGTGGTGTGTATTGTAAGTTACTCAGGAGCAACTTACGACGATTTTCTCTGCGTTTCCTCTTAAGCACACTATTTCTGCACATCATCGCTCATATCATCTCCCATGACCCGGCAGGGGAGATCATCTCCCTGCCGAACTTCACCTGAGGCTCACCTCTCAGGTGACCTTGCATCCCTATAGCATGGGGATATGGGCGGTCGTCATTTTACTGGCAAAACCTCACATGAAGGTCTCAGGGGAGATCATCTCCCATGATCGAGCTTTACTACGGGCCAATATCGAACGAATCCTGAAGGCATAAGAGCACCATTTTGTATTAATCTGCTTTGAGAGCAAGGTCAAACACAGTCTGGTGTTGATTATGCTTGCCTTTCCATTAGGTCGTTCCATAAGTTCGTAGCGTTTTTATTTTTGTCGTCGTTTTCTGGTGAAGCGGTAGGTTTATCGCAAAATGTGTGTACCCTCCGAAAGAGCCAATTCTACTCTACAATAACTGCATTTTATTTTCAAAGTAAACCTGATGACCTTTGTTCTGTGAGTTTTTTGTGTAGCAAAAAATGGCGCTTTCGGCATCTTCATCTTTGGCGCCATATACGGAAATTACGAGAGGAAAATTTCTATTCGAATTTGTTACGAATGATGAAGAATACTGTTTACCGGACTATGATGCATGTAGAACAAGAATCCTTGTCAAGGGAAACGCTACAGAGAATGATAGAGCGCACTTTTAATGTGTAGATGTTTTGCGTTTGCTCGGAATGAGGAAGTTTTCTGAGCCAAAATTTTTCGGGAAAGCGTAAAATCGCTGGTCACCCGTTGCACTCAGACTTTTGCACCACTTGAGCAAAGCTGTTCATCGCTCAAGGCTTGATAGCAGGACGAGAACATTCTGTTACGAAACGACGCGTAAAACTCAAGCTGCAGCAGTCGAAGACAGCAACTTTTGAGACTTCGTTCAAACAGTTCTTAGCATATTGGCTGGACACCATTGTGTCAGCATATCAGCGTTGCTTGCTACTTGTTACTCCGACTATACATATGGGATATGGACGAAATGCAAAAAGCACAGTTGCCGAAATGACCATTTTCTGCCACTCAAAAAACTTTGCTTTGAGAAATTATGAATCAAAGATCATTAGGATTGCTTCAAAAACAACAAGCAGGTTTTGTAGAAAAAACCTGGCTGTTTCGATTAATGTCAGATAATTTGCCGTAAACCAAGTGCTTCACCAGAAAACAACGACGAAAATGAAAACGCTACGAACTTATGGAACCATCTAATAATTTGCATGTCAGATAACCCCTGAAGGCCAAGTTTCAGCGAATTTAAGGTTTCCAAATATTGGGACACTCAAGTGAGATGCTCATTTTCGGCATGCTAATTTTGTTTCAAAGTGAGTAAACTACTTCTTTTTGCACTCAGTACAAGGTACTTCTTGTTCCTTGCTCGTATTAGGAATCCCACTTCAACTAACCTCCAAAATCTGGAATTAAGAGCAAACCAAAATCTCGTTTGTCCCGTTTTTCGCTTTCAATTTTTCAGACTGGAGAAGACCAATCAAGCTCGAATCACTTCTGGGAAAGTTACGAGGATCAGGCTATCGAATGTATTTGTTCTTGCCGCCTTACCTCGCTATTCATGTAGTAGCGCAGACTTAGCATATTGCAATAATCCAATATTTTCGCAGTATTTTCCATTTGCTTAGCTAAGGAAAAACAACTATACCTTTTCGTAGGAAAAACTTTTTTGGATGGAATTCTCGCTATGTGGAGAAAAAGGTTTAGCAGTAGCAACCATATAAAAAAGACAGAGATTTGAATGCTTGTAGGTAAGTTAATGGGGTGGCCACCGTCTAGAAAGCTGTGGCCGCCACAGTTTTTAGGGGTTGTGCCACACCCCATTAACTTGCTCCAAAAAAGATTTCAGCGAACAAAATACATATAGTTTCATAGCCTGGGTCTTGTAGTTTCCATAGCAGTAATTTGGGCCTGAATCATTTTCTCGCTCTGAGCAAAAACTGGTGAAAGCGCAGCCATTGAATGCGAAAAATTAACACGTTGACGACAGTGTCGCGCAATGGTGCGCGACAGGCAGTCTGTCCCTGTGGACGATGTCGCGCAATGGTGCGCGACACCCTAAATTCCAGTTCGAATGTGCCCAATGGTTCCAATTTGTGTTCACATAATCAGTCTAGGCTCGGAAGTTTTTCATGTTGGCCCCGCCCCTTTTTTTGGCAAACTCCGCCCACTCCGTTGCCCCGTACAAAAAACTTTTTTCGTTCTCAAATCGCATAGAAAAGCTCGTAGATGACCGGGGAACCTCAAACAATCTTGATTTTGACCCCGCCCCCACTATGCAGGCCCCGCCCCTTGAATGGCAAGCTCCGCCCACTTTTCAAAAATGCCGGAATTTGCACGAATTCATTGATTTTGAGCAATTTTCAGCAATTTTGAAAAGTGGGCGGGGCTTGCCAAAAGTGGGCGGAGCTTCCCCGCCCACTTGCATTTTTGTACCTTACGCATAGATGCATACACACATATATGCAGCCGGCTGCGAAAATGCCTGGAAACGGTTCGTCCACAGGGACAGACGTCAAAAAAACAGCTCGTCGTCAACGTGTTAAATAAACGAGGTTTTGGCCTGCTCCTGATTCCACAGTATGATGGTTAATTGAAGTAGGATTCATGGTATGGAAAAATAGGGAGCAGTGCTTTGTATTGAGCAGAAAATGAGTTAGCTAATTCACTTTTGAAGTATAGTTAATGCTCTTCGAAAATGTTTAATTCATTTGAATGGTCCATTGGGGACCCTCAGTTGCTAAAACTTGGCCCATGGTGGTTATTTGACATGATAATTACGAATATGTGCTTAATTATGCATGGTAGGGTTTTATGCCATGCCTATGTACGAGAAGATGGGGGGGGGGGTTGAAACACAAGACAGTGGGGGGGGGAGTCGTATCCGGCGCTTGTGTGCCACACCTTTTACTCGACCCTAATCCCCACCATCATAAAATTTTACATATTTAGTCTTACAAATACTGTAGAAATTCTCTTCATGGAAACTTTTTCTTAGGCATGACTGCAGTTTGGCCGCTCTGCTTCGGGGCTTGAAATTTCGTCACTGGAAAGCTTATTCGCCAAGCATCAGTAAGCAATAGAATGAGCAGGAAAAGTGCTTTTAGACGATGTTTATGACAATGCCAGAAAAGGCAAAACCCTAAGAAAATGGCTGCGTTCATACAAGGCAATTGCAAATCGGACAGAACTTTTGAAACAGCCTAGCACAAAAGCATTGACTCACAGAAATCCAATGCACTCTGACAAAACTGAACTAACTCTTAATTCCAGGACAAAAAAGCAGCTTCAGAAAGTAAAAAACGATTATAAGATTTCGCAAAGAAATCCCAATCCCAATCCAATGCCGTCGAGTCGCTCACTTCAATTCAGCGACGCAAATTCGCTAAGATTAACGAAAGTCGCTACAGTTTCGCTGATCAGGTACAACCTAGCAAAGAACGCTCAGCGTACGTCGCTTGGACTACTACCACTGCTGGCGCGCATGATAGGTGGGCATGCATGTGACGTTTGACAGTTGGCTTTTTGTAAAATTCGCGACGCGATGGATTTGCTGCCGGTATGCAGTCCTTCAGATGGGTGTTTGAACGTCGGGTTTTAGTTCTAGAGTGAGGCCCTAGTACTCGGTTGTGAGAGCAACCGAGATTATCTAAATCTGCTCGACGCTGCCTTTAAATTCATGTGAGCCTTGCGGCTTGGTTTTTAATGCTTCTAGAGATTGCAAGATTTCTTTGCAAGGTATAAGTTATGTGTAAAGTAGACACTCTTCAAAATTAGGTAAGTTTTTCTCAAAGTGCTATTTGGTTCTCTTGCTTATCTTTTTCTTGAACAACTCAATCCTTGGCAAGCTTTTTATTCAGTCACTGCTACATCACCATTATTTCTTCTGCAATATCCTCTGCTTCTGCTTTGTGCCTTCTGGCACGTGCTATAATGAATTTTTTGTTTCTTTTGATTTTGCAAAACGCAACAATCTTTCGATTAGCGTTAGCGACTTCCTTTGATTTCAAGTAGAGTTTACTGCGGAACAAAGGAGAATTATGTAGAGTCACGTAATTTAAAGACCTGCATACGAATGTCCACGTTTTTAGAAATTGCTTCCAAATATCGCGATCTGGCCGATTAGACGTAATGCTTTTAGCTTCTTATTATTTCACCATGTTAATTCAAGACTTCGTTCATAAATGGCCGATACAAATTAGAAACATGATGGTTGAGAACGATAAGGTAGAGGTTTGATGTGGTACACTCACTCTATTTCGTCAAACTTTGTGAGTTAATGCGACAAAGCAATTTTGGCCTGTCTGACAATAAAAATCGGCGTTTTAATTGTCAGACACAATTAAAACGCCGGTTTTCACGGCGTTTATGGTGTTCAAGTAAGTAAGAAAAGAGAGAATTTTCGGCGTTCAAGTAAGTAAGAAAAGAGAGAGGGTTTGTTTTGGAATCGAATGCATACGCTCTAACGTAAGTGACACGAATTTTGCATGTGTTTCTTCATAACGTAAATAACTGCTCATAGACAATCCCGCATGACTTTATCCTTCGCACACAGTTGTCATCAGTCAACTTTCAAAGCACTTGTAAAATTCCAATGCTGTTTGAAATTTTGACAACGGGAGCCTTTACCTTCTGAGATACGGTTAAAATGTGTATATAGTGAGGATCGAACTACAGCGCATAGCTCATCATTCATAAACAACCCATAACATAACATAACCATTACATCGTATGCGGAATCAGGTCAGTATCTTGATTTCTTTAAGCAAAGACAAAATTAAAAGATTGGGTTAATCAAAGATTTTCAAAGTAAAGGTCAAGAATGCCTAATAGTAGCACAAACAGAGCAACTTGTGTAGGAAAAACATCAATTATCTATGGAATTTATAATGATAGGAACAGCAAAGATTTGAAATCTTGAACAAGCACCCGAGCACAATCAATCTCTTCAGAGAGCAGTGCTGCGTGAATCTGAGAGCCGTGAGCTTTTCTTGACTGCGTCCATAGCCGCGCAGCGCATGCTTTATTATGCGATTGTTCTGTTATCGCGTACAAACGTAACTTTGACCTTTAAAAGCAGTCACGCAGGTTTTTTGACAGAAACGCGAGAGGTGCAGGCGATACGAGCTTTTGTGAATTTGTTACAGTTACTTTCCCATATCTCTGCAAAAGACTCTATACTTGAAGGATAACACAATTTTCATAAACAGCTTTTTCGAAAAACTCTATGAGCGGAGTTTCCTTGCAAACCAAGATCATCAACATTTCGACTAAAATCGATTGGCGAGCGTAGAACGAGAAAAAAAAATCGAATAACCCGAAGTTCTCTGAAAACTTTGTTATAAAGGTTATTCGACTTGCTGATTACAAAACTCACATCTGCTTAGCAAGATAGCTTCGTATTCTAGGGCTACGACTAGAATTTGGGACAACAAGATTTTTTTTTTACAATTTACCAGCCCTTCTATCTCCATTGGAAAGACGCCTGTGATTTCTTTTTAGCTCTCCATAATCTACAGAATGAGTACTATTAGAGGGTCCTTGCTGGAGTCTACTAGGGACATGGGCACTGCTTTACACCTTTGCGAAAAGACGCCCATAGAAAGATTTGAGGATACTAAAATCAGAATGTCAGGGACATGCTTTATAACGAAAGATTTGCCTTGAACTGAGCACAAAGCTTTCCTCGAATGGAATATATTCATTCCGAAGGAAGTTATGGCGAGTAGAATTTAGAAACGCGTGATTTTTCCAAAATTCGTCAACGCTTCTATCTCTTTCAGAAGACAGTCTGCAGCTAATTCTAAACGAACGATAACCTACACAAACAGTACTATCGAATAGTGCTTACAGGAATCTTTTATGTTACACAGACGCTGCGTTACATTCTTGCGGAAGGATCTCCACAGAAAAATTCGAGAAAACTGGAAACGGAATCTCGAGGGCATGCTGTATATCAAAAGATTTGATTTGACGGTTTGAACAAAATGCTGCTTTTGGATTTAGAATATATTTATCACGAATGAAGTTATGGAGTTGCGTATTCTGCGTGATTCCCATGATCCCGCGGATCTTAGAATGTCGCGAACTACGAATATCGCAGACTTTGGCGGAAATCCCGGAATTTCGCGGAGTTCACGGGAATTTTGCACATTCTGTGAGCGGTATTGTGATCTTGAGCAGATCTTAGGGCAAATTCGATCAGACTGACTATCTACCATACTCCTACAGTATACTTTCTACGTGTCATCAGCGACAAATCAATGGCATACTGTTATCAGCAGACTGAACAATCCGACCAAACAAAAATCTGCAAAATCGAGCAAAACCCACTGTTTAACGTATACCTATCACATCCTGCTAGATTGTGGCGCTCCTACATACTATACGATGCGTCTCTCCGAGCTGAATCGAATGGTGTCTTCGGATTCAGAATTCGTTCACTATGAAGCGAGATATGGCGATGCGACGCGGATTCCGACGGACTCCAATGATGTGCGGCGCACTCCGCTGCTCTCTGACAGACTCTAGTGGAGTGTGGCGCACTCTGTCGCACTCCGGCGCACTGCAGCGCACTCCGGCGGACTGCAGTGCAGTGCGGCGTACTCCGCTGCACTCTAGTGGACTGCGTCGCACTCCGGCGCACTGCAGCACCCTCCGGCGGAGTGCGCTGCAGTCCGGCGACTTTTTTGACGAATTTGAGCGGTAGTGTAAGCATGCGCTATCCCCCGTAATTCCCACGCTTCATTCATATGTTCAAATGATATATGGAGAGTAATATCATTTATTACGTGTTACTAGGTTGGTGAAAGATAATGTCCGTTTTGCAATACTTTACTTCAAACAATTCGTTCAGTCTTCATATTTTTGGAAGCAATCAAGACCATCAGAACCAGTAAACCTTTCGTAACCTAGTGCGCACTTGCACTGACATCGCAAGGGAGGATAAACATGCGTCAAAAGACGAAAGTTTTTCTTTTAAGAACCTCGTCGTTGAGAAATTACAATTTTCTTCAAGTTTTGTTCCTATGGTTGGCAGCTTATTTTGTAACCGCAAGCCAGTAGTATACGTTTACAAAGGAAAGACTTCGACAAAGGAGTTCTGCTTAAAGAAAGAATAAAAATTCAAAACTGTTCTCTTTTAGGCTATTTGGTAGGCCTCAAAGTTTCAAATTACTCGTCGTTTAGAGGCAGTGTCCAGGCAAGTCTGGACACATAGGGATCTAACGTGAATAGTAATTTTGGGAACCTAGCTAAGCCACTGCCCAACCGACAGCTCAGGTAGTGCTCTAACGGTTGAGATATTCCCCTCAAAATTGGACCCCGCGATCGTACTTCGCATGGACTCATGACGCAAAGCGTGTGTCCTGGCGCGAAACTGCCATGAACCCATGCGAATACGATCGCGGGGTCCAGTTTCGAGGGGAATATCCCAGCCGCTAGAGCACTACCTACGCTGCCGCTTGAGCAGTGCCTTAGTTAGGGCCCCAGAAGTATTTCTACGTAAAATCTCCATAGGTCCAGATCTGCCCGGACACTGCCTTTAAGAGTTTGAGGCCTTTGAGCCCTGAGAAAATCTTTTCGTGCAACGAATAGTTAAATCTTCCTGCGAAAACTGTAGACAAAATGTCCTAAACTTGAGCTCACAGAAATGAGCGAAGCTTTGGTAATAGCCTCAATCAGGGGAAATTTTTGACCCATAGAATGCCACCGGCGAGAATCTACTTCGGAGCTTCCATTTCTTAGTCCAAATATTTTCGAAAAATCTACTCATGCATGCAATAGGTAAACAATAGTCATCCCATACAGCAGCCATGTTTCCGAAGAAGTTCGTTCAGCTGCGCCCGAATTGTGGCCAAGAAAGTGAAAGCAATGAAGTTTTGGTTCTGAGTGCTGCTATGCAAAATGCTGGTAAAATCCTCACAAAAAGGATAAAAGCATATACGCACCATCATTAGAAAGACATGAAGAAAGCTTTCCAATGCTGCGCAAAATCTATATTGAAAAAGAAAGTTTAATAGAGAAAAAGTCATTCGAAAATTAGGTCCGAAAAAACGGACATTACTTTTACACCAACCTAATACAAATGGACATCAAAAATGATAAATTGCAATCACTATATAACTTCCTAGTAAACTTTAATTTCCTAACGTGAGTGCATTTTTGATGTACAAAACTTAGGAAAGAGCTTCTCTTTACGCATAAATGAGCTGTCCGAGTAAAGTATCACAATGCTTTTGTCGGACAAAAAGGCGTCAGGTACCATTTCTTGAAAGCAAATTCAAATCTTCTGTAGTTTTTGAATTTGACGAGCGCTCGCATCACAGAAAACATTTTTGGTTATCTAAGTTTTTTCTTATTGGATACATTGCTATCGATTGCTATCTACCAGCATTTCTGCTCACGCGCGGCCGCTTCTTCTGGACTCTTCACCTCTTTTGCGAACATGCTCTCTAATCACTTTCCCACCTCAAGCGTTGGAAAGGCGGAGCCTCAATCGATTGAATATGATTATAGAGCATGTTCGCGAAGCAGAGTGTCGCGCGGGAGTGGAAATGCAGGTGTGCACCCGACATTGCAGTTAATAAGTCCTGTACCTGATGTTCATGGGCAACCGCTGCCGAATACGCTATGAATAATGTCGCTTTATGAGACTTGATTAATAAATATTAAATAAATAATCCTATATACAAGCACATAGACATTAATCTGAAGTACATACATTAGACGGACAGAACCACCATCTTGGACAATCTGTTGCATTGGGAGTAGTGGTGCCACCATTGCTACAGTTGACATTGAGGTGGATATGTATGTCACGAGATGAAGGTGTTGTGGTGGTGGTGCTTGCTGCTTGTAGCTGTGACAGCAGATCTGCTAGCGATATCGTTTGCGTAACCCGTTCTTGTGCGAGGGGAGGTGCTGGTGGAGGTGTTGCTTGAACAGGTTGCGGTTGAGGACACGGACCTGGAATTACTGGTTGGTAAATGCATAACTTCATTTTTACAAACGTACAATAAATGGGTACGAGAATTGGGGTTAACACGGTAGTTGGAGCAGCAGTAGAAGTTGTTGTCGTTGTTGCTGCTACAGTCGTAGTCTGTTCGACTTGCTGAGGCTGACAACAACATAATATACTACCCTAAAGATATCGTTCTCTTGTGAGATTTAAGAAACCTGTCATTTGTAATATTAGCACTTACGAGGCTCAAGTCGCCGACGTTGGTTAACAAAAATGATTCATCCAGTCTTGTCACAAACAGCACAATAATGGCAATGGACACTTTCATCATGCTCAGGGAAAGTTTGATTGCGAGAAAACAATTGCTATACGCATTCGAATTAGTGCACCAATTGAAATTTTTGCAAGACGTACTAGAAGTGCGCCGCAATTCGTTGGAACAGAATCGATAAGCAATGGGGCAAGAAAACTGCTACTAAGAGAACAAGATTTACATTAAATACCAGATTTTTGCTGGAGCTGATTTCAGTGCTTCAAATTTTTTTCATTCGTCATCCCAGTCACTTGTACACACAAACATCCACACGTGATCTTAAGCAACTCTCTCTCATACATCCTCAGTAAACATAAAGTGGACAACGATAGGAGGAGCTGCTTCTGTAAGCAATGATGCGAGGATAGGAGGAACTCACCAGACCTCTTGCTGAAGCTCTGCTGCTATCCGCTATGGTACAAATGCTTCTGAGAAGTTTTAATGGAACATCCATAGGTGGTCCTTAAGCATAAGGGTAGGTAAGCAGCTCTCAATTCCTGTTGATTCCTAGATGACATAAAGGTCGTCCTGATAGCCTTATCCCGGCCAAGTCTCCACAATGACAAAGGTCAAACTAAGCACTATTCTTAAGGCCGATGCAGACTTAGCAAATGCGCGTATGACTGCCGTTTTGAGTCTTCATGGTTCAATGACGAGACGTCTTTTCGTGTGTTATTCAAAGGCGTGTAAATGTAACTTGCGCTGGAATAGTGCGTGTTAGAACATTTGTATGGAAACAGAAGTTATCCTACAACAGTTTGTTTTTTTGTTTTTTACGCAATTCACAACGCTTGCAGAAATAGGACGATATGAGACATATTAATAGGAAACGTTAAAACTCTGAAATCTGAACAAGATTCTAACAATAAGAGAAAAGGCACCTCTTTACTACTGTTCGGTCTACTCTGTAATGAGTGGAATGGGAAGAAGCATGACTAGCAGGAAGCATTTTTGAAAGGAAAAATTTAAGACTATAAGCTAACGATGACGCTGAAGTGCTTTCCCGAGGGGGCTTGTCCAAGGGTTCAACTGACGTTACGCCATCCATGTACAGTCGAGTAGATTTTCGGTAAATCTAGTGCTCTTACGATGCTGAGATTTTGCGTCAGAATTTGGGACTGAACAAATAGCTACGCCTAAATTGCTGGCATTCTGCAAGCGCAAAAAACACCACATTTAGTTTACAAAAGCATGGAAACACTAAATTCAGAAAAATAAAATTGACCATGCTGTACATGCGCGCTTGAGATAGCTTGAGATTGAACAAGCGCTAGCTTTTATAAAATTCTACATTCTTGACTGGAAATTAAATCATGAGAAATTATTACGGTAATGATTTTCATATGTTATGTCAGGTATATAGTAACAACAGTTCTCCAATGTTGCCCAACAATGTCATCGCAACGTTCAGTTTAAAGAAACTTGTCAAAAGTTGTGCAACGAAATTAGGATGCGTGGAAAACCCTGTTACAAAACTTCCCAGGTTTTTTGGTGATCTTTTTTAGAGATGATGCTTTGAAATGGACTGCATGCTAGAAATTCCTAAGGCAATCCCATAGTGATAAAGAATGATTGGTGACTCGTTAACCACTAAAAATGTAAGTTTGAGTTAACTCTACAAATTGGCACCCAACGCTCGGGCCACCGGATACGACCCCAACCCTTAAGTTCCGTCTCGATGCTCTCCCCTCCCCCCAACATTTTCGTTTGCCTACCGTAGGCATGGCATAAAGCTCTACCAAGCGTAACTTGTGATATATTCGAAATTATCATCTCGAATAACCCCTGTGAAGTTTTAGCTGATTTTGAGGGTTCCCAATATTGAACCACTCAAGTGAAGTGACCATTTATTTGAACCAAAATTCCTAAAGTGAGCATAGAAGTAGTAGTTCTTTGCAAAAAGCGCAGAAAGAAGTAGTCTCAACTCACTTTTGATTCAAAGTTAATATGATCGAAAATGACCATCTCATTTAAGTGGTCCAACATTTAGGAAAGCTCAAAGTTCGCTGAAATTTGTTCCACAGAAGTTATTTGACATGCTAATTACGAAAACGATGCTATTATGCTTTTATAGATATTTTATTACGTTTACTGACGTACACGATGGTGGGCCAAAACATCAATGTGCTAGTATTTTGCATTATGGGCCTATCTGACATTGTTAACGAATATCGTCAGCTAACATCAGAATGACCTCGATAACGACCCCCCTCCCCTCCTCTCCCTGACCTCTCAGTACGAATCCCTAGGTGTGGCATGCCACACTCCACCGCTTGACCCCTGGCAATAAATAAGGCAAATTGAGTGGTATTTAGTAGTGGCGAGTGGTAGTTTACTACAGAAAAGGCCAAAATCATTACTATGTCACTTTCCAAAAAACACAGTTTTTCCTAGAAACGCAAACGGCGGAAACTTTTCACAGCAAAGAGTAGGTTCAAAAACTTATGCACCGACCGTTTCAGATTTCTGTGAAGATTTTCAAAATTTGGCGATCTATCTCAAGGTGTTCAAACTTCACATGGTCTGTTTTTTTCATTTTTATCTCCGCAGTCATTGTGTTGTAGAAGCTACACAAAACAGCGATCGATAGCAAAAGGCTTAATCTTTCAAGTACAGTCTGCCCCAATCGGGATCAGGCCGAACCGTTGGCTGAATTTGCGCGCCCGCAGCGCTAGGGGATTGCGCTGCATGCGCGCGCTGTCGCAGAGAGTGGAGAGATCGAAGAGAGAGCAGACTAGCTAGTCGCAGATGTGGCGCGAAACCCTCGCGGAGCGGACTCCCGCCATGCCGATTTTGGCCTGGTTAGGATTGGGGCAGACTGTAGAATCACAGCATGCAAACCCGTTGAGATAGCGCAAAAAAATTTTCAAGAATGAAACATCAGAACTTTAGGGAAAAACAACGAGAGTAAATGCCCTTCAAATAATCATATAGAAACAACGTGTCGAAAAGGTCTCACCTTTTATCTAATTGTGAGTATCCCTATGCAACATGTAGCCATCTAAATATATATTATATATTTCGTAGATACATATAACTAGATCTGTGCAAGAATCTGTCGTCTCATTTCTAAAAGTCATTTTCTTGATAGCTAACGGTCCATTAAGCAGAAAAGACCATGCGCTTTTTAACACCGTTTTTCTATGAAATCAACGGAAAACCGTAAGCCATAAAACTTGAAGGTTTAAGAGTACGTTAAAAATGACTTGAATTAGTTTATTTCGTTCAATGTGGAGCTTGCAATTGGAAACTAGGACTCTGTGTTCAATGTTTGATTTTCTGTTGCCATTCGATTGATCTTCTCACTGTCAATAAACGCAGTAGAGATACAACAATCAACAAAATAATTTTCACCATTGTCAACAATTTTTGTCCAATCTTCAGGCACCTGTTCATTTCCTTTCTGTGAAAGGCTTCCGGCGGTGACACGAAAAATCTTCGAGTAAGTGTTGCATGTTCCCAGATTGTTAAAACTTTTGCCTCGTAGCCACTGTTCCCTTGAATGAAAAGTAAATAAGAAGGCGAAGTGTAGGAGTTGTATACTGTAAAGTTTCCCAGCCTAGCTTCATTATCGTTTCCATATACTGGATGTTACAGTGATAAGAGGTCTGGCATCTTATGAGCAAAATCACCGCATACCTTCTCCTTCCAAAAGCATCTCGCTTTTTGTGAAGGGAAGTGACCACGCTATTCAGCTGTTTGGAATAATTTACGGAGGTAACTGTTAGAGATCCAGAAGTAGATCCACTTGGGTAAAGGAATGAACACCTCAATTAGGCACCGCCTCCGCGAGCTGTGGTTCTTTTTTCCCACTATTGTGCATCGTGTTGGGGCCAGTAGTCCGCGGAGGCAATGTCTAATAAGGTGCTCTTTCCTCCACTCGATCACTTTCGTCTTCTGTGACAACCTTGTAATCACAGTGTTCGCATTATCAAAGTTGAGCTCACTTCCAAGCATGCCGTTTAGTAAACTCTGATAGACTGTGCTGTACGCACAGTCTATATTCTTAAACTTTCTCATTGCCTTGAGCTCGCGAAGTTGGTTATGCGCGCAAACACAAGTGATGTTACTTTCGTGCAGCCTACTTTCGATCCTGCTTAAGAAGACCTATACCAGATCTACCCGATCTATATATCGAATTTTATATATACACAATAAAAATATGATTTAGTGTGAGGCTATTTGTGGTGATTTCAGATACTCGTCATTTCTGTGTAAGGAGCACCTACTCACAAACCGAAAAGAGTCTGTCCCTTATATTTGAAAATTATAACAAAATATGACTGACACAATCATGTGTGGTAAGGAAGACTATCCTGTACAGCGTTTTCGTATCCCCCAAGAGAGATTCATCAATTGTAATCTCATTTTTCACAAACTGCTTTTAGATAGCATAAAGCAATTCACGTGCGCATTTGCGGCAACAGGGTTAAGAGAGCCCTCAGTACCCGTCGAGGAATGAAGGACACAATGCGGTTTTTCTCGCCTCAGGGTTTTTACATCTGCACGACAAGAAGTGATAGATCTGTGTCGCAGAGTCCAAGAGAACGCAAAAATTCGTTTGTTTCTTACATCTTATCCATGCGGTAAGCTTCTCCAGATTTTTGATGGACAAGGCAAAAAATTAAAACATAAGCACAATATCGATTGCGGAAGTAGTAGCATGTGAGGGCAGTTTCAGTAAGAGGGCAGACACTAAGTCATATCTCATGGATGAATACATATCGGATAGCCTGATAGGCAGCTTGAATAATGCAATACGAGCAATCACTGTCAGTGATTGATTTACACAAGCAGAAGAACATATGAAAAATTTATTTTTTAGGAAGATATCATTGTCAGTAGGTCAGACATTGCCATTACATAAACTTCTATGTAACGAGATATTTCAAGGAAAGCAGCACCATGAGAGGAAGAGGAGATACCAGAAGGTTTCACTTCCATTCTCAATTATGGAAATGTTTTCATGAAAGTGAATTTAGATGGAACAAGGAATCGTAACAAGACAGAGCGATGGA